TATTGAATCAGAATATATATAAATATCAAGTCAAATGTCTGTGGTGATTTAAAACAAAAACACTATAAATATGAAGTCCTGTTTTCTCTTTCTATCCCTTATAATTTACTTGTTGACCAAAGGGTAATATGAATTGTTAGCTTGCCACTATCTAATTTTGATAACTGCCTCTTGAGGGTGTCACTTTCTGACTACTTGTAAACTGGTAGTAGGAGCTAGAAGATTCAACTTTGAATTTTTGAGAGAAGTATTTTTTATATGATATTACAGTGACAGAGTAGGAAACATCAAATTTTGGTATATCTTTTATTTGAAATGTTTACAGCCATGGATTATCAGCTTCTAAATTTGTTCACGAAGTAACAGCACACTATTCTATGAAATTCTTTTTATTTATCAGTAGTTGGGATACTTAAGGAGAATTTCTCTTATCTACTGGGCAGATAAAAGTATTGGAAACTACTCAATGGCAGTGGGTTATTTTCATACACATCCATACAAAACCCAAACATCTCTGGTAGTGAAGTGATTAAGTTCTAGGCTGCTCACCAAAACGCCAGCAGTTCAGACTAACCATTTTTCTCCTAGGGAGAAAATGTAGCAGTCTAATTTGGTAAAGATTATAGTCTTGGAAATTTCATAGGGCAGTTCTACTACATATTACAAGGTTGCTATGACTTAGAACCTAACGGAATAAGACAACACATGCTGTTGTTGTTATGTGCTGTCATGTCACTTGCAACTCATAGCAATCCTATGTACAAAAGCCCTAAAACCCTGCTCTATCTTGTGCCAATTGCACTGTCTCTGACACACGCATCCAGATTACCCTAGTCACTGAATCAATCCACCTCATAGAAGGGCTTCCCCTACTGTGCTGTACTTCTACCCTCCCAGGCATGATGCCCTTAAGTCTCTCTCCAAGGACCATTCCATCCTCACATGTCCAAAGTATGTCAGACGAAGCCTTAGAATCCTTGCCTCCAAGGAGCAGCCCAGTTTAACCCTCTCCAGGATGAACCTGTTTGTTTTCTTAGCACATAGAAGAACATAATAAATGATTCCCTAATTAATTCCAATGGTGATCTGTTCCTCTAACTCATGGGTTTAAACATAGTTGATAATGCTTTAATCTATTACAGATATTACTATTATTACAAATTAAATTTCTAATCCTGGCTAGCAGAAGTTTCTGTATCAGAGTCTCAATTCTTTTTCACAAGATCCTGGTAGACCCTAATGCGTTTCTAATTAGTATCCAAGATATTTCAGGCTTACCTGGATACTTTCTGTCTCAGCCTTGTAATAAAATTATTTTTCAAAGGAGCCTTTTAGATGAAGAATTGTGAGATACCCTAGTTTTTATTTTATTTTATTATTTTTTGTGCATGTACCGTCAAATCAGATCTGACTGGTACTGGAGGAAATTGTCCCTCCTCCGGCAGAGCATCTGGTGGATTCAAACTGTGTACCTTTGGGATTGCAGTGCAGCTTCCTGCCACTAGGCCACCAGAGCTCCCCGAGATACTCTACTTTTGACATGACTATTTTTAAAATCAAAAGGGCCGAACTCGCTCAGCATTTCTTAAGCTGAAGGAACTGAAGAAAAAATTCAAACCTAGAGTTGCTGTAA